TAATTATACCTAATATATTGGTCATTATATTGATAAACAATTATAATGTCATATTTTTATTTTTATTGAATTTTTAATATTGATTTAAGTTGAAAAATGTATACTTATAATACATATTAAATAAAAAAATTAAATAAGTAAACCGGACTTTAACGACATCGGACTTTTAGGTAGAATTCCCACCGTAACATATAATACYTATATGTTATTATGCGTAATGCGTGTATAAARGAGGAATATGCTACCCAAGTACCAAGGTATCTGAATTTCACTTATAGCCCCGGAACGAAGGGTTTGTATTGTTCGCAATCTACCACAGGTAGGAAGATTGCCTACCCGATTATAGCTATAGATAATAAAGATAATAATTTCTTTATTATCTATGATTATAGCCTGATGCTGCAGCACATTGTCCGCGATTGCATAATGTCGGACTACCTATCTTGGTGGATATAACTCGAACATTGATCGATTTTCGCTTAAGGTGACTTATCAGTTATTAAAAAATATGAATTTCGAATTTACATTTTTTTACATAAGAAAAAGCACCAGTGGCGGCGATAGGCGTGGGCGAAGTGGGCCATTGCCCACGGCCTCGCACTTCAAAGGGATTTATAATTAACCATAGAAAAATATGGGAGAAGCATCTATAGTTCTACACAAAAATTTTGTTTACTAAAAAAATTTAAAAAACGGCCTCTACTTCGCCCACATATAAATTTTACCTCGCGCCGCCACTGAAAAGCACCGGGCATGCTGATTGTRAACCGGATCGTATTATTCAATTATTGCCGACTTTACGGCTTTGTAAGATTTCTAGACACTCTAACTTGATATTTAAACAACCCTGCTTTCGAAACTAGACCGCCATGCAAACTTTAACGTTTTCACCTCCTCAAATTGTTGTTTTTTTAATCAACCACCACGGCAAAAACGACATTTATCAGTAATTTAAAAAACATTTTTGTGTCTACCATCCACTCTTGGCAAGTTTCACGGCTAAATTCTCCCCCCCGAGTTTCACGACAGTGAGCTTCTGATGGCAAGTAATTAATTAAATTAATTTCTTTTATATTTGTAGCAAAACAAAATCAATGAAAATATCAGTWATTATATTGAGGTTATCATCGATTACTATTCGATTTTGAATTCAGTTCGAGAATTTGTAATGTATTCATTAATTACCTGTATGATGGCTATATATTATATAATTAAAAAGATATCATTAAAATATTATCGTCGAATAATTTTTTATGGAAGTAATATTGATAGATAAATATGATTTATTTATTAGTTAATTCAATTACCTTGATAAGTCTAAAGTCGCATTATGTAATTAAAATTGTATAGTTGTAAAATACCTCAATTGAAAAATTGTATTCAATAGTTATTTTTTTGTACCAACAAYGCATCTGTCGACAGTTTGTCGATTGTTGAAATTAATCGATTGCGATTTGCTAAGCAGCTGCTGCAGCTGCTGCCGCCGACGAGCGACGTGCCATGGCACAATATAACGATATTATTTTGTTCATGGAATGACGTAAGCACGCTGTTGGCGAGACGTTTTGGCACGGCGGCGGCCTTATCACTAGTCGAACGAATATGGTCTGATTGATATCCGGCGAGCATTATCGTCATTTATCGATAACGAATGTATACTGGCTCTTCATCGTTTTCACGTAATATTTCACAATAGTTTTTGAACGCATTATTATTTCGCTTTTAACTCGAGTCTGAACGTGTTTCGGTTAGAGGTTAAAGTTTAAACGTACTTATTAGATAGGTCGCGATAAATGCAATGCTTGTACATTTTCTAAGAATAAAAATGGCTCGTTGTTGACCACACAAAATATGATGTAAGTACCTATGATTTTTTCTTAATTCCTTATTGTTTTTTCTTTTGTCAGAGACAATAATACAATAATTACATAATATTAATAATGCTGGTGTCAGTTTTCCTTTTCGCGACTCTAAATTTTATTTTACGTGAGTACTGAGATTAAATTTTTGTTCTAGACATATCTTCACGATGCAGTAGCGACACCAAAACTTATAAACATAACTCATCTAACGTTACTTAGTCATTGATGTAGTGTCGGTACTCAAGCATCATTACCAAAATGTTTTGTGTTACGAAAAATAAAATACTCTTACCAGTTCAACTCAAGAAACTAGGCGAGCATACATATAAATGTGAGAGCCGAAGTCTTACTGATGTGTACCTGCAACCTTTTTGGAATTGGCTACTATTAAAAACACCCATATGGATGGCACCAAACTTAATAACACTTATYGGATTGATCGTAAATATTGTCACTACACTGCTGATTATACGTTATAGTCCAGATGCTAATTCAGAAGTAAGTGGATATTTCAATTTCATTTAATTGAAATTAACATAGACCAAATATTTGAAAAATATATACACATTATTTAATTAACCRTGCACAATTATTCTTTTAAAAGAGATGACTCATTATTTTTTAAAGTCTTAACTTATCTGAAAATTTAAGGTAAATGTGACTCTAGGTCTCTAACTAACACCTTATTTATGTTAC